TTGGTAATGTGGGTAACCTAATTGTCCACAGAGAGGTGGCAAGAAATTAAGGAAGCCAGAATTAAAACTATTGTGCTAGAGCACCTGGAACCTGTGCCCTCCTTAGGCTCCAGAGTCCCCTTCCCTACCTCTTCTTCAGTAAGGACTACCACAAGCCCTAGGGGAGTTCCTGGGCCTCAGCTCTGAGAGAAGGCGGTGAGAGGCAATGCCATAGTACAGCACCAGTCCCAGGACACAAGGGAAGTCTATGACGGTGTCCAGACCACACTCTGCCTGTATACTTAGAGACTGGAGAGAAACCTTCCTCTCTCTGGATCTGGCTGTCGTCGCACCGAGGTGCCACCTGCAGCCACCGCCTTTCTCAGAAACTGGTTTCAGGCTAGAGGGGAGACTTCAGCAGCAAAGCAGGGTGGGCATGTGTGGCTTTTACGATGGACTGCTCAGCCTGATCTGTGCAGGGCTGCTGTCACTTATGCTCAAACCATAAAAAATGAGGGGACACTCCTGCCACCACAATGCTCTACAATCCCCACGTCGATGAAATAGCCTGAAGAGCATCTGTTTAATTTGGGGTGAACCAAATAAAGAGGTCACTCCTGTTTCTGTTTGGGACCGTGTCTATCAATTAGCTAGTTTTGTCATGGAATAAGAAGATGCCGCTGAAGCCAGATTCCTCAAAGCCAGCGAGGCACTCAGGCTAAAGTTCATCTTTCCAGTATCCTGCTAACAGCAAGTCACTCAGCAGAAGGAAGCTTTACCTTCTTGATTTTCTGACCTATGTTCCTGGCGACCTCACAGGGCTGCAGGAAAGAAGAGAGAGCTCACACATGGTGGCACACACCTAATAACACAAGCACTCTGGAATCTGAGGCAAGAGGATTAAGGGTTCATGCCTAGCATGGGCTACAGAGTGAAACTGTGTCTCAAAACATTTTTTAAAAATAGATAAAATATTCTGTACAAGCCACGACACACAATAGGTGCTCAGTGAAGAGTAATTTGGATTGCTCACTAATAATAACCACTATTAAGAACACAGCACCAAATGTTGTTGCCTCTGAAGTGCTTTTCTCACAGTCAAAGTATCCCGGGCAGACGGAACTACAGCAACGTTCCCATGTCACCAACTGTCTGATACCCTATGGGGTATCTGGCTCCTTTCAGAATCCAAGCATGTCTATTCCGGCATGGCTGACCGTTTGCCAAACAGAGAGGTAAAGGATTGTGGTTGGAGGACACAGCCTACCACAGGTGACGCACCTAGATATCAATCTCCGTGGGGCACAAAAGGCTCACTTCTCCATCCAGTCGGTAGAATTACTGTGTCCAGCCCTCAGCAGCATTAAAAAGGAAAGATACAACCTCTTCAACTTTGATGACTAGGGATCAGGTGAATTTTATTTCAGACACCTCAGACACCCTCCACCCTGGTCAACGCTCTCATGTTAGCCGCCTGCTACCGTGCGGGCTATCTGGTTTCTCTCAGAATCAAGCACACCCAGGAGGTGAAGGCCCGCAGAGGGTGAGTTCACAGTAACACTTAGACGTGTAAACAATTCAAGGACAATCTGGATGTCATGAGACCCTGTCTCACTGCTGAAGAAACAACAAGCCAGAAAAATATACAGTACAGGACCGCGGGGAAACTCATGGCACCGTATCCATACATATGTTCCAGCCCCAGCACAGGGGAGGGGCAGAAAGGAAGACGCAATATAAGCAACCTATGTTATTAGCCCTTGAACCCGCATTTATGTCATCAAAGGTACTGTTAAACTTCCCCCAATGTGTAAGTCTGTGAAAGCATCTTTACTCTCCAACCTCACAGAGTTCTGCACAAACACCAGGCAGTGACTGTAATGGCTTCCTAAAGAGGCTAGAATACTTCTCTTTTCCCACTCAGTTTGGTCAGGTTCATGGCGAGAGACCAAGACAGGTTATATAGATAGGCACAATATAACTAGTTGATAGTTTCTATATATGTCCAAACAAAAGCAAAGAATATTCAAAAATAAAAGCACTTGTTAAAGTAGGAATTATCATATGCTTAAGTCTTTACTAAATCCTTCATATTAAAAATTCAATCTCTAAATGATTCAATCTGAAACCATAATACCCTTCTGGCAGAATCCCTATTTGCCTGACTGCCTTCCTGTTTCTGTTTGTTGGATTGCAAGGGACGGGAACCAGGGTCTCTGGCATACTAGACATGTGCCGTACCACTGAGCTACATCCCCAGTCCTCATAAAACTCTTAGACCGTCCTAACACAACCCAGTTGCTGACGGTTTGGGATATCAAAGGGGTTCCCTCTCAAGACTTTCAAGACAATAAACAAGTTAGGTTGAGAAAGTTAGCACACATTATAAAACTTTCAATAGTTTTATAGTATCTTTCCAGCCAGACTCTTCAACAGCACTTTAAGAAGCCACACGGAAACAGTATTTAGCAGCAGATAAAGAAACCAATAATCCCAAACTAGGCAATGGGCACTTCTAACTTGGTACAACATTTCTAGGGGCAGCATCAGTAACTGTTTTTTTTTTTTAAAGAGTCATCTTAAATCTGTCAGGTAGGGAACTCCCCAGTATGCTGAAGACAACCGAGACTCCACGCAAAGCATTTTGTGACCTGTGCATGAAACCAATCAGAACTTCAGTGCATTTTATACCCTATGCAGTCCCCAGATTCGGCTATAAATGAGTTAAGAATGCAGATGGGCTGAGTAGATACCTGTCCACAATGTATACACCTTAAAGGTTCACATATCTCCACTAGCCCAAAAGATCCGAGGAACTTCTAATCAAGAAGGGGGAAATGTGACATTTAAGGTTACTATTAGGTCAAATTTGGCATTTGTTAAGCGGTGGGATGAGTATCCATTTACTAAATAACATCAGGCAGCCACATCCAGAATTCAGCCTCACTAGAAAGCATCAATGTAAATTTTAGGGACAGTGGAGTACCGAGAGTCTGTTTGGAGGCAGTTTTTAGCTGGTCTCTGCCTACTATGTTCACAGGTGGCTGACACCTACATAACATGGAGTTTCAGCCCCTTTCTCTTTCACAACCATCACGGTCCCCTAGACTGCTCATCGAGACCTAACACTATTTCCCCACAGTGGTAGTGTGACGGCAGCAGGCGCGGCTTCTGACTGACCAAGAAGAAACCCAGTGACTACTAAAAAATCAATGAAGAAAAGCTCCAAATACTGCAATCTCTGCCTCTGCTACTTTCTTCTCTGAACACGGCCAAATAACACTAGACTTCATTCTAACTTTCCCCCCAAACCTGAACTTGGTCCTTTTGAGACGACTGAAAGAAAGCCTGCATTCAAGGTGACATACACAAAGAAGACACGTTCTCAAATTCCCAGAAGTGCAGACATCCCAAACCGTGGTGTACGTGGCCATCCAGAACATCAACCTCCAACATCTCAAAATCGTAAAGACCCAAATACGATTTCCTCATACTCAAGCACTATTGCTAAAGCTACAAGCTTCCGCCTCAGGGACAAGTCCCAAAGAACGCACTGAACAGCAGTAAGGTCCCAGGAGTTGTCTGAGGTTGTGACTTTCCTGTATCAGAGGCTTCCGGGTAAGCGTCAGGCCAGCCTCACTCCTCAAGGTGAGCTGGACCGAGGTCTGCTGGCAGTCATCAAAGCACCTGAGCATCTCAGAGGAGTCATAGTTCCAAAGCCCACATAATTACTGAAGCAGGAGGAAGCAACCAACAAATGTTGCAAATAAAAACCTTTAATTATAATATTAGATTACAAACAACAACGACAAGAACGAAAAGCTTCTGAGCCTCTAATGGAGTTAGTATAGCTGGATTCAGCCACAACTAGAGTCAAATTTAAATTTTGGTCCCTCAGCGACGATCCTAAGAAGGAAGGACTATTCCCTGACTACCTTTCTCCCAGTCCACAGAAAACTCATATTTAGTCATCCAGAAAGAAGTCTTTCAACTAAAACAAAAGTAGTAAAGTCTATACAATGCAGGTGTACAAAATCTAATAATGAATATTTCAAACAACAGTCCATGTGGGAAAACAACCCTACCTACGAGACCATAAGAGGACCCAGGCTTGGCAAGAGAATGCCGCAAGCCCTGAGGTTAGGACCGCACGCTCCTGGTGATTCTACGCAAACTCCTTTCTTCCTTCTGGAGACAGCTGTAGTCATTCTGTGGCAGGTCTGCCCACTCTGCCCTCTGCCCTGTCCACCTTAAGCAGACAGTTAATCAGGTACGAGGCCATCAGCTCCCTGTCAGCGATCAGAATCAGGGGACCAATAAGCAGTAAGTTCCCAACTGGTGACCTGAGGGCGAGAAGGAAGACTCCAGAGGTGTAGGGGGGAGATGGTTGTTTCTGGGGATTTGGAAGGGTAAAAAAGTGTGAGAGAGATATACAAATACATACAGTCAGGATACATGGATAAATAGATAGACAGATACACACAGAGTCAGTATAGATGAATGGATGGATAGATAGATAGATAGATAGATAGATAGATAGATAGATAGATAGATGATAGATAGATGGATAGATGGATGGATAGATGATGATGATAGATAGATAGATAGATAGATAGATAGATAGATAGATAGATAGATAGACTGAAGGACCAGGCCTAGTCAAAATGGAAGTGGTGGAGGGTGGCAGGTCAGAAGGCATATCCACCTAGTGAGAGTGAGAGGATGGTTCACATGAACTGGTCATGGGGGCAGGTGTGAGCACAGTGCTCTAAGCACTTGGAAAGCAACTTAGATGTCCACATGAAGTTTGGGGTAAGGGTTAGGAGGTGCTGTGGCGGGATGTAGCCAAGAGTTGCTTAAGTGGGAACTGAAAGCTACGCAGAGCCTCTGGAACACAGAGAAGTTGTTAAAGAATAAAACAAACCAGTAGGCCACGGAAGAGCCTCTGACCATGACTCCACGTGCACACAAGCATACACTTTCCCACACAGTGACGCCATGTCATTGGGGTAGATTCTTACCTTAGCCACTGGCACGCTCCTGTTAGACGCCACGTCGCACAAACTGGAGGTAGAGCTGCCTGCCGCGGCTGGAAGAAAGACCGGGGAACGCGGGGGACTGCTGGTCGCACCTCCTGGAACACCAGCGAGCGCCGGGAACGTACTGGGGCCCGGGCGCGCAGGAGGGCTGCTCCCTGGACTGGTGCCCGTGCGGGGCCTCTGGCGAATGCCATCCAGCAGGCGCACCAGCAGGATGTTGGCGGGCAGCTCGTCCACACCGCAGCCCACTAGGATGCGGCACTCGGGACAGCGTAGCTCGTGGCGCGAGCACACGATGCTCTCCAGACAGCGGCGGCAGAAGGTGTGCTGGCATGGTAACACCTTGGCCGTGGTATCCAGGCGCTCCAAGCATACGGAGCATTCCAGCAAGTCCAGCAGCGATGACTCGTCCATGTCCTCGTCAGTCCTCGCTTGGGCCTCCTGCTGCTGCTCACCCTTCCTGTCGTCGCCCTCGTCGCTCCGAGCTGTAGTGGCCGCCGCCTTGGACGCCAACAGCCAGGACGCTCCTAGCAGCATGGGGGAGGCGCTGGCGCGGGCCCAGTGAGCCGCCTAAGTCCAGGAGCCAGAGCCCGGCCCGCCAAGGATAGCGAGCTTTTGCACCCTGCCTGGGCGGGCAGGGTTCCGTCCCCAGCGGACGCTCAGACAGCCCAAGGCGATGGCCTCTGTGTTGCAAAGTGACACACGCCGACCCCGCCAGAGGAGTTCCTGGAGCAGCGAGTCAACTCCAAGCAGCTGAGCGGGCTCAACCCTCCTACACGCGCGGCTGGCCACTGCGGGCTACACCTGTCCCGCCTCGCCGCTCGCACCCGGGAGCCCAGGGGCAGGAAGTGCGGGGAGAGGCCAGCCGGGTCCCCGGGGAGGCCAAGGTGCGGCGTGCGCGCTCCCCCGCGCCGCAGGCGAGCCGCACAGCCCCCCTCGGCGCCTCCATGCGCCCCTGGGCTGCCAGAACGCCACCGCCTCGCTCAACCGGCCGGGCTGGACCTTCTCCCCGGCCGCGAGCACGTGCGCGGGGGGGGGGGGGGGGCGGGGGAAGAGGTCACAGTCACGGAGAAGCGGACACCTCTCTTGCCTTGGCGTTCTCCCCTCAGGCCACCTCCGGGGCTCCGGAGAACTTCCCCCGCGCAGCCTTGGCCCTGTCCCCTATGGACGCGGGACTCTGGGTTCTCCCCGAGCTTCAGGAAGGGACGTTTCTTCTCAATGCGGCCGCGAAGGAAAGTTTGAGAGCATTATCCCGACTGCTTTCTTCGGCAGCTCTGCAGAGCAGCCTGGGGACGCATCCGACACCCAGGCATCCTTCTGGACGACTCCAGGGAGCTTGAGTCCCCTCTCCCGCCAGCATGCACAAGTGACAGCTGTGGGTTTAGGCGCGGGGATGTCCCTTGGGGCGAAAGGGGAAGGCTCGGAGCTGGCGGGTGGCCCCCGGGGCCGCGACCACTCCTTCTGGAGGCCAGCCGCCCTCTCCAGAATCACCGAGGTGAGACTGACGCCGCCGCCCACGCGCCAGCACACTGTGGCCGAGCGCCGCGCCCCTGGCGGCGCGGTGAGAGACTCCAGTGCCCGCTCTGGTGTGCTCTGGCGAACCCAGCTCCAGCTTTTCCTCGTGAGGCTCAGAGGAGGGGGAATTTGCGCTCCTTCCCGATGCCCGGGTTTCTGGGAGCGTCAGAGCGACGGAAGTACGTACGAGGACCCGGAGCAGCAGGGAAGTTTGGCGGTGGGCTGCGGTCGGCGGCCAAGATTTCTTGCCGTGTGCTGCCCCCTGGTGTCCCCGTTGTGTTCCCAACACTCTCGAGCTTGGCACAAGCAAAGATCCAGCGGACTGGATGATGCAGGACTGGGAGATGCCAGGGCATCTACATCAGAGTGGTGTAGATGCCCCTCCTACCGGTTGAGCTGTCCTGTTGTTTGTGAAGCTGAGCGTTCACTTTCCTAGTTTTTAGGGATAAAATAAAATGTGCCGATGCTTAAATGCCGAGATAGTCTGCATTATCAACCTTGTGAAATAATTGTGAATAATGTCTATATTATCAACCTTATGAAACAACCTTGTGAAATAATTGTTTTTTAACTTCATTTCACATGTAAACAAAATGGGTTTCATTCTTATGAAGCCGTTAGATTTGATTTAATTTTCGTGACCACAGAACCCAAACACATAAAGACCACATGCTTGTAGAATGAATGGTTGCTATAAACTATGTGTCTTTTACAGTGTAGTATCTTCCACGCCGGGTGCTCAGTGAATATCTGTTGAGTGATTGAAAGAATGTCACGGTCTCATCCAGAAATGATTCGAAAGCAGTCCTGGGCACTCTACTTTCAGATACCCTGAAGTTCCTATCATGCTGCCAGTGTCTGGAAATTTTGGGAAGCAGATAGTTTACTCAACCGACATCTTACCATTTACATCAGTACTGGCGAGGGTGTAAGAACTGTCTATCTAGCTTGTAACGGGAGTAAGGTAGGGGAAACAGATCTTTTCTCAGGGATGCCCAAGGAGAACCTGTGAGAGGACCAGAATACCTGATTCATGAGTGTTGATCAGAACCCAGGAAAGGGCAAGTAAGCCCACCCCTCAGGCACAGTGGGAGATCGCCAGAAAATAGTTCCTGTCCATTATGATACAGCCTGGATACTTTTGGATACAAGAGAGAAACTACTTCAGAAAAATCTTAAAAGGAGAAAAATAAGAGGCATCTTGGAAGTCCATAGAGCTGCACTAGCAGACAGAGTCCCCTGAACCTTGCCCTTCCCCCTTGTATGTGGTGGCTCCCTCCACCCTCCATCCAGCACCAGGTACCACATGCTAGAAAATATGGCCAAAGCTTGCACTGGATCCGGCAATACAGCATGCAATTAGCATCAGCCACTGACAAGACAAGCACCTGATACTGTCGTGGGCTGACAAGAAGTTTGAAAATCCTGTCACCTGCATTGTTTGTAATAGCCAGAACCTGGAAACAACCTAGATGCCCTTCAATGGAAGAATGGATGAAGAAAGTATGGAATATATACATATTAGAGCATTGCTCAGCAGTAAAAAACAAGGACTTCTTGAATTTTACATACAAATGGGTGGAAATAGAAAACACTATCCTGAGTGAGGTAAGCCAGACCCAAAAAGAGGAACATGGGATGTACTCACTCATATTTGGTTTCTAGCCATAAATAAAGGACATTGAGCTTATAATTCATGATCCCAGAGAAGCTAAATAAGAAGGTGAATCCAAAGACAAACATATAGGCATCCTCCTGAATATTAACCTTCATCAGGCCATGAAAGGAGACAGAGACAGAGACCCACATTGGAGCACCGGACAGAAATCTCAAGGTCCAAATCAGGAGCAGGAGAGGGAGCACGAGCAAGAAACTCAGGACCGCGAGGGGTACACCCACACACTGAGACAATGGGGATGTTCTATCAGGAACTCACCAAGGCCAGCTGGCCTGGGTCTGAAAAAGCATGGAATAAAACCGGACTTGCTGAACATAGCGGACAATGAGGACTACTGAGAACTCAAGAACAATGGCAATGGGTTTTTGATTCTACTGCACGTACTGGCTTTGGGGGAGCCTAGGCAGTTTGGATACTCACCTTACTAGACCTGGATGGAGGTGGGCGGTCCTTGGACTTCCCACAGGTCAGGGAACCCTGATTGCTCTTCGAGGTGATGAGGGAGGGGGACTTGATCGGGGGAGGGGAAGGGAAATGGGAGGCGGTGGCGGGGAGGAGGCAGAAATCCTTAATAAATAAATAAATTTAAAAAAAAAGAAAAAAAAAGAAAATCCTGTCACCTAGCCTGGGCTAGTGACTCCTCTCTGAGTCAAGTGTCTACAGAAGCAAGATATGATATGAAGTCAGGCAGCACCGTCCAATGTTTCCCAGAAAAGGAAGTATGGGTTCCCGGCATTAGCATCTGAGAAAGCAAAAACAGATGTCCATTCTGGGAGCTCAGGACATGTCTGCCCTCAGAGCCCCTCATGATGCATCATCAAAGTGAGGATGAGGAAATACAGAACTATTTGGACCCCATAACGCCTGGCCTTCCTGTGTTTCCACTCTGGCCTTCAGCGCCTACCACAGCCAGTGCTCGCTGTAGCTCACTGTGAAGCCAAACTCACGCAAAGGCCGGCAGGACATGCTAATCAGTTCAGCAGCTAGGTTCAGGCAATGGTGGGGACTGAGATGAGCTATCTCTGCCTTCCCAAGGGAAAACCACTCCTCTGCTGCAACCGCTCATTCACTGTTCTGAAGAAATGGTGTTGAGTATTGTGATCTCTTCTTGCCTGTGAAGAGGGTCGTAGGCCTTTTTATAGCTCCTGATGGTCAGTGGTTGACAAAAATTTCTATTCCCAGAGTTAGCCAAAATAAATACATGGCCAGATTAGCCCAAAGACCTTCAGTTTCAAGTTCTTGTTATACACCCAGGAGAGTCCATAAAGGGATTCAAGGGTGTGGCCTAAATAGCTGAAGTATTACAAATACAGTTTTAGGTTACTCGCTAAATTTGCACATATTCAATAAGCCAAATATGTAAGTAAATGATGGAAGAGCTGGCTTTGCAGCCATTCATATAAAAATATCTGGGAATTCAGTCAACCACAAGAATACTAGGAGCCAACATGTGTCATCCATATAGCGTTGGCAGCCGAGGGAAGCCCTGAAGGCCTCAGACACTTGAATGTACGTTAACAGGCTGTGATATGGAACACAAGAATTCCATCATACCTCGGACTTGTCAGACCTCATTTGAGAGATTATCTCCAATTCTGGGAACCAGAAATTAATGACGAAAGGATAAAGGAGTTAGAGGCCCAAGCCTCGGCGTTAGGAGGAACAGAGAGAGAAAGCTCAAAGGAAGTGGGGTGGGGCGGCTGTGTGGCTTGTGGCTACCCCAAACCTGAACTCCTTGTTTCTTACAATCTCTCCCTTGGTGCTAGATAGGAATTTATTCTTCCAGCGGAAGAGGGGAGATGTCACTTAGGCTCAGTCAATTAAAAGATGTGTCCCCCGACAGTCCTGATCTGACAGGTGGCGGGGGGGAGTTAGATGCAGCCTGCAGAGCCATAGATATCCCAAGGCAGCTGGTCTGCAGTGGCAGGACCCACAGTCTGGGACCTGCTGGATTGCAGAAGCATCACGGCATCTCCAGGAAGGGGCAAACTGGCATCCCCAGGCCTGTCCTGATGGTGGCAATGGGCTCAGCTGTAACCTCCCTTGCTCTACTGGCTTTATTGGATCCTGTGAGTTTCCCTGTTTTTCTAAGATTAATTCCTTTCTGTGAAATCATCCCAAGATTCCGTTTGTCGTTTGCAACTGAGAATTCTAGTTGATGCCTGTTTTGTCAGCCAGAGGTGATGGATGAAGGGGCCTGATATGAGACAGCCATCACCATGCTGAAATGGAAGCAGTATTCATAAATTAAACAGCATTTCTTGGATGAGTGTGTTCCTTCCTCAGTCAGGTGCTGAGTGAGAGCAGAGGGCAGGATGAAACTGTGTGCTGAGTAGAGTTTGCCTCCGGGACACAGGCATCCCGGGGCAGTTGTATCTTCTGCAGATGGGAACCCCTGTAAAGCTGGTTCTGTTCTTTCCATCCTGACTTTGTCCCTCCTTCCCAGGGAATTCATCTCCCATTCCTAAACATGAGTTATTTCAGGACTTGATTCTGATTTGTAACCTCTCCCCCTTGTACACAGAGTGCTGTCCACACAGTAAGTTCTCAAAAATATGCTTGCTGGATGCACACA